CGCAAACTGCTCAACATCGGTAAGGACGAACCCCAGAGATGCCGATTGTTTTGGGCTTAAACGCTTTAAGCTTTAAGCCCGCTGTATTTCAGACACAGATTCCACATACAGAGCTGTAAAATGTGGGCAACAGGGCAGATGAGAGCCTGAACCTCAACGGGGGGCTCCACACCACAGGAGTTATCGGTAGTGATGTGTCCCTCCGTATGGGGGCCGGTGTTGATGACGTATTTTGTGACATTTGAAGCCTCGCGAAATATAACGGCCAGCAAAATGCAATAACCCCCCTTCCCCCTCACATGGAACTTAATTACAAGTTTGTTAGCGATCTATTCAAGCTCCCCTTCATTGTATCATAAAGACAGACACCATATAAAAGTGTAGAATTCACGTATAAGCATCACAAACATCCATCCATCCATTATGGTAACCTCTTATTCCCTAAGGGGGTCGGGGGGCGGAGCCTATCCCAGTAGCCAATGGGGAGAGGCGGGGTCCCCCTGGACGGTCCCCAGTCCATCACAGGGACACACAGAGACACACAAGGACCAACAACCACACACACTCACACTAAGGGCAGTTTGGAGTCCAACAACCTAACATGCAGGTTTTTGGAGGGTGGGAGGAAGCCGGAGAACCCGGAGAGAACCCACAGACACAGGAGAACATGCAGAACCACCCAGAAAGGTCCTGGTTCCCCCGGGACTCCAACCTAGAACCCTCTGGTCCTGGTTCCCCCGGGACTCCAACCCAGAACCCCCTGGCAGAGGGTTCACAAAAATCATTGATTAATTACAGTGGGAGAAATAAGTATTTGACCCCTTGCTGATTTTGCAGGTTTGCCCACTTACAAAGAATGCAACGATCTATAACTTTAATCATATGTACATTCTAACAGTGAAAGACAGAATCCCAAAGAAAACTCCAGAAAATCACATCATATGAATTTATGAAAATGGATAACCATCTGATGAGGAAAAATAAGCAATAAGCATAAGCAAGTGGGCAAACCAGCAAAAGCAGCAAGGGGTCAAATACTTATTTCCCCCACTGTAATTCAAAGCTTCAGACACCAAATCCAGAGTCTCATTATAATCAGACTGTACGGTTTACATTTATTGTCCACTTGAAGCCCAATGAAGCTTCGACACATGAGTGAACCAGTCGGATGTAAGCTTCAAAGCTTTATGAAGCTTGATTTGGCCGTCTCTAGCTATCGGCACCACTCTGATCAGGGCTAAAATAACTCGTACAGGAGCCATTCGGATGTTGTAGATTATTACTAAAACAAACCATGGAGACTGGTCTCCCGGCCTGTACAGTAAAACCTTTACAAATGATCCAGAACGCGGCGGCGCGTCTGGTTTTCAATCTGCCCAAAAAATCTCACGTCACCCCTCTGTTCATTGAACTCCACTGGTTACCTCTGGCTGCCCGTATCAAATTCAAGTCCCTGATGCTAGCCTACAAAGTGCTTAAGGGTATGGCTCCCATCTACTTGAATCCCCTTGCAAAGGCTTATGTCACAACTCGATCAGTCCGGTCATCAATGGATTGTCGTCTAGCAGAGCCTTCACCATCTTAAGACAATCCTGACTGTTTGCATGTGTCGTTCCAAGATGGTGGAACGACCTACCAAGCTCCACAAGAACAGCAGAGTCCCTGTCTGTTTTCAAGAAACTTTTGAAGACCCACCTCTTCAAAGAGCATCTCCTATCCTAACCCTAACCCGTACCTCTACCCCCCACAGCTCCTATC